CCCTCATGTAGCCCCAGCTACTCAGGAGGCTGAGGCAGAAGAATCACTTGAACCTGGGAGGTGCAGGTTGTAGTGAGCCAAGATCACGCCACTGCATTCCAGCCGGGTGACAGAGTGAGACCTTGTCTCAAAGATAAATAAAAATAAAAATAAGGCCAGGCGCAGTGTCTCATGCCTGTAATCCCAGCACTTTGGGAGGCCGAGGTGGGTGGATCATGAGATCAGGAGATCAAGACCATCCTGGGGAACACGGTGAAACCCCATCTCTACTAAAAATACAAAAAAAATTACCCAGGTGTGGTGGCAGGTGCCTGTAGTCCCACCTACTGGAGAGGCTGAAACAGGAGAATGGCGTGAACCCAGCAGGCAGAGCTTGCAGTGAGCTGAGATCCCGACACTGCTCTCCAGCCTGGGGCAACAGAGCGAGACTCCGTCTCAAAATAAATAAATCATAAATAAATAAATAAAAATAAAAATTTGTTGGGCCAGGTGCAGTGTGGCTCATGCCTGTAATTGCAGCACTCTGGGAGGCCGAGGTGGGCAGATCATTTGAGCTCAGGACCTTGAGACCAGCCTGGGTAACATAGCAAGACCCTGTTTCTACAAAAATAAAAATAAAAATTTTTTAATTAAAAAAAAAAAATTGGCCAGGCACAGTGGGTCATACCTGTAATCCCAACACTTTGGGAGGCTGAAGCAGGCGGATCACCTGAGGTCAGGAGTTCGAGACCAGCCTGGCCAACATGGTGAAACACTCTATCTCTACTAAAAATACAAAAATTAGCCAGGCGTGGTGGTGCATGCCAATAGTCCCAGCTACTCAAGAGGCTGAGGTGAGAGAATCGCTTGAACCCAGGAGGTGGAGGTTGCAGTTAGCCGAGATTCCACCGCTGCATTCCAGCCTGGGCCACAGAGCGAAACTCCATCTCTAAATAAATAAACAAATAAATAAATATTTGTTGGTGCTTTACAGGTATAAATTGCTCCTTGAGAACTCTCACAAACTATGTTAAATATAAGCAACGACAACATTAATAATGTTTTCTTATAAATGTGTATTAGGCATAAAACTGCTTGGGTAATGTTCCAAATTTTTGGTAGCTTTTAAAAGAAATGATCTTTTTGGCCAGGCACGGTGGATCACGCCTGTAATCCCAGCACTTTGGGAGGACAAGGAAGGCAGATCACGAGGTCAGGAGTTTGAGACCAGCCTGGCCAATATGATGAAACCCCATCTCTACTAAAAATACAAAAATTAGTTGGGCACGGTGACGGGTGCCTGTAATCCCAGCTACTCAGGAGACTGAGGCAGAATTGCTTGAACCCGGGAGGTGCAGGTTGCAGTGAGCTGAGATCGTGCCACTGCACTCCAACCTGGGTGACAGAGCAAGACTCTGTCTCAAAAAAAAAAAATGATTTAAAAAAGATTATTGGCCGGGTGCGGTGGCTCAAGCCTGTAATCCCAGCACTTTGGGAGGCTGAGACAGGCAGATCACAAGGTCAGGAGATTGAGACCATCCTGGCTAACATGGTGAAACCCCGTCTCTACTAAAAATACAAAAAAAATTAGCCGGGCGTGGTGGAGACTGAGTCCTCCGCTCTGTCTGCCCAGGGGCTGCAGTGCAGTGAAGCGATCTCGGCTCACTGCAAAGCTCTGCCGTCCTGGGTCCAACACCATGTCTGCCTGCCTCAGCCTCCGAGTAGCTGGGACTACAGGCCCTCGCCACCATGCCTGGCCTAATATTTTTGTATTTCAGTAGAGACGGGGGTTTCACCGTCGTTAGCCAGGCGCGCGTCTTGAGTTCTGACCTCGTAATCCACTGCCTCGGCCCTCCCAAAGTGCCTGTGGATTACAGGCATGAGGCCTGCCATTGCCCCGGCCTGTAATAATTTTTTTTCTTTTGAGACAGGAGTCGTCGCTCTGTCGCCCAGGGCTGGATGCAGGTGGCCGGATCTTGCCCTCACTGCGAAAGCCTCCGCCTCCCGGGTTTATGCCATTCTGCCTCTGCCTCAAGCCACCACGCCCGCTAAATTTTTATTTGTATTTTTAGTAGAGACGGGTTTCACGCATGTTAGCCAGGATGGTCTCAATCTCCCTACCTTGATGATCTGCCTGTCTTCAGCCTCCCAAAGTGCCTGGGATTACAGGCTTGAGCCACCGCACCCGGCCCAATAACTTTTATTAATCATTTTTTTTTGGATGACAGAGTCTTGCCTCTGTCACCACAGGTTGGAGTGCAGTGGCACACGATCTCAGCCTCAGCTCAACAGACCTGCCATCCTCCCGGGTTTCAAGCAATTCTTGCCCCTCAGTCTCGCTGAGTAAGCCTGGGGATACAGGCACCGCTCACGCGTGCCCAACTAATTTTGCATATTTTAGTAGACGATGCGCGTTTCAATCATATGTGCCAGGCCTGGTCTCAAACTCGCTGACCTCGTGATCTGCCTTCCTTTCCTCCCAAAAGTGCTGGATTAACAGGCAGATTGATCCACCACGTAGCCTGGCCACAAAAGATCATTTCTTTTCAAAAGCTACCAAAAATTGGCGAACACTTACCCCAAGCCGTTTTATGTCTAATACACATTTTATAAGAAAACATTATAATGTTGTCGTTGCTTATATTTAACATAGTTTGTGGAGAGTTCTCAAGGAGCGATTTATACCTGTAAAGCACCACCAAATATTTATTATTTGTTACTTTATTAGAGATGGAGTTTCGCTCTGTGGCCAGGCTGGAATGCAAGCCGGTGGAATCATCGGCTAACTGAACCTCCACCTCCTGGGTTCAAGCGATTCTCTCAACCTCAGCCCTTTGATGTAGCTGGCGGACTATTGGCATGCACCACCACGCCTGGCTTAATTTTGTATTTTAGTAGAGATAGAGGTGTTTTCACCATGTTGGCCCAGGCTGTCCGAACTCCTGACCTCAGGTGTCCGCCTGCTTACAGCCTCACCAAAGTGTTGGGATTACAGGTATGACCCCACTGTGCCCTGGCCAATTTTTTTTTTTAAGTAAATTTTTATTTTATTTGTAGAACAGGGTCTTGCTATGTTACCCAGGCTTGGGTCCAGGGTCCTGAGCTCAAATGATCTGCCCCACCTCGGCCTCCCCAGATGCTGCAATTACCAGCAATGAGCCCACACCTGCACCCTGGGGCCCAACAAAGTTTTATTTTTATTTATTTATTATGATTTATTTATTTTTGAGACGGAGGCTCCTCTGTTGCCCCAGCTGGAGAGCCCAGTCGGATCTCAGCTCACTGCAGCTCTGCCTGGCCCTTGGGTTTCCCACGCCATC